CAAGGAAAGACACTTCAAACCATTTTCAAGAGATGTTAGCTGTTTATGGGAACTCCGCTCCTGGGACAACCGTGATTTATAAATGACACGCACTTTTCAAACAAGCCCTCGCCCTGGACAGCCGATTGAGGCTACCACGCCAGAAATAATCGAAAAAGTTGAATCGGAAGATGCCCGGCTAAAAAAACAGCTTGCAGCATTAGTTGGAGTATCAGAAACAACCATTTTAAACATCCTATGGTTATGACTAAAGTCTGTGCAACATAGGTTCCGAGAATGCTTTCTGCGCTTCAAAATCACGAACGTGTCGAAAGTTGTCGCAAGTTTTTGGCCCACTGTGGAGAGCAAAGGGAGGAAGTTATGGCCTGAATTGTAAACTGGCGATGAAACTTGGGTTCACCATTATGAACCTGAGTGAAAGCAAGAGTCGATGCAGTGGCATAAAAATGCACACCCCCTTCTAAGAAGTATAAGGTATCTCAATCGACCGGATAGATCATAACGACGATCTTTTGGGATATAAAGGTATCCTTTTGATTAATTGTAAGGAACGTGGTGTTTCCATAACGGGAGAATACTACGCTTCTTTACTAGATCAATTAAAAGAAGCTATTAAAGAAAAAAGGCGAGGAGGAAAAAAGGAAAGCTTACAAAAGACGTACTCCTATTGGACGACAATGTGCACGGGGCACACAAGCCATGTTGCGACGGCTGCCATTCACCGGTGCGGTTTTGAACAACTGCGCCACCGCAGCCCAGACCTGGCCCCAAGCGACTATTATTTGTTTCCAAAAATTAAGAAAGAACTGCGTGGGAATAAAAATGGTGACGATGATGAAGTGAAGTTGGCAATTTCGGCCTATATTGACGCCCAATAGAAATCTTTTTTTAAGACGGTATTAATAAGTTATTTGAAAGATCTAATAATTGTATTGGGGTTAAGGAGAATACATCGAATAGGAAAAATAGTTTAATGTTTCATTTCATTATCCTTCCTTGTCATTTTGCGAACTTTTTGTCCTCCCCTCGTATATCCTACTGGACAAGAAAGAAAATGTTGAATAATTTTAAAATCTTTTGGGCTTCGCTTGCGAAGGTTTCTGTGCTATGATCGATGAACTATATTCAATCAATGATATCGTTCTGTTAATCTAGTCAGTTAATAGTATTACTGAAAATAAGCATAAATTATGCACGTGTTAAATTATACCCACAATAACAATTTTTATTGATTGTATAATTGAGTTAAACACGCGCTACGGAAAATTATGTTCAATCTAATATTATGGAACATAACTCTCCGACTTTTTTACTGTTCTTATGCAATTATTTAATTGGGATCCATTTTATAGACATTTATTAGATGAAATATATGCTTGTACTTTCAGAAGAAGACTAGCTGTTCCCCGCGACTTCGCCGTCGTGTAATTTATTTTTGATGCGCGTGTAAATTGATTTCATGGGTTTTAAATTTTTTTACACGAAACCCTAATTATTTTTCTAAAATAAAAGCAGCCTAAGTTACTCCTTATAACATCAGCTGTCTGCCAGTGAAAGTTCTGTCAAAATCGGTCCAGCCGTTTCGGAGGTTAGCCGGAACAAACAGACAGACAGACAAAAATTAAAAAAAAATTGTTTTTGTTATTTGTACCGTATATACTTTTATATGCATATATAGATGATTGATCAATGTTTTATCTACCAGTATCCGTCGATCAGCTAAAGCTACCACACCAGTCAATCGACGTCGATCAATGGCATCGATCGACGATCGATCGATGCCATTGATCGACGTCGATTGACACCCTTATAGGGGGATATTTACCATAGTTGTCACGCTTGGAAGGCGCGTTGCGAACACGTCTAGCCAGCGCAATTCTTTTTATTTTTTATTGTTATTAAGAAGACGATGCTTCCAGTCTCCTTGAATTTTCGCTCTGTCGCCTCTTACGATACCTACGGGACGATATGGGGTAGTGGATATTCTCACACCGCCACTACACGTTTCGGATAATGAAGCAAATTTTACGTAATTAATTTTTGCAATGTAGATTGAGAAGTAAGCACCTGTAAGCTATGTCTTCTCTTCTTTATAAAAGCTTTGTGTTTAATTAGTAAAACGCGAACGTCGCTACACGATTTTTTATTAAAGTTACAGTAAGTCCAACTGATAGAACATATTATTTGAAATTATGGTTTTAGAGCTGATTACCAAAACCCTAATTTCATTACGTTTTTCTTTATATATTTAGCATTTACATCATTTGATACAATAAGGATTTCAGAAAAATTAATAAAATGTACGGTCTATATATTAAGTCGTAATACATTTGCTTCTACAGATGCTTCTAGGCACATTGAAAATCTGAACAATTGTTGTGCAAAATACCGGATAACGACCATCCATTATCCTCCTACAGATGAAAACAGGATTTACGGAAAAACTATGTCTGTCAATTCTAACCCTATAGGCTCAAAGCACAAAATAAATATAAATAAAGTTATTATATTTCAGTACAATAAGTCTTTTTTAGGCTGTGATAATAATATTGAGTGAGTAGTTGTTCGTTGCCGTCAGCCTTTTTACTAGGCCTTTTGTACTGTTTACATATAGAAAATACGTAATGCAAAAATTACTTCTCTTAAATCAAAATATCTTTTGTTCATTAAAATATAAATTATTAGTGAAACATTTAATTACAATAAGTAAGAAATTATGTTATAATTTGATAGTTTAACAAAATATTATAATACAATATTAGTGGTAAGTACTCGTATGAGTGCCTTCTTGACGAGTACTTATAAAATATAGTTTTGTATGTGGTGGCTATACTGCAACTATACAATTAATATAGTAATTAGTAGTTAATTGTATAGTTGTATCACGAATAGGTCGGCTCGACCGGGTAAGGACCACGCTCTCACAGAATACCAGCGTAAAATAGCAGCTTAACGCTGCTGTGTTTCATATGGTGAGTGTAGAGAACTGGAGACCCTTTTTACAGGAAAAGAGGCATTCCACCTTAGCCCTCACGGCTGACAACGTATCTGCATTTTGATTCCCAAACGAGGATAGATGGATATGTCTGTGGGCCACAGTAACCACTTACCATCACGTGTGCTAGTTTGTCACCCTTATCCTATAAAAAAATTCTACAAAAATGTTATTTACTTTCGGTGCGGTTAATTTACTCCACAAACTAAGATTAAATAAGCAACTTTGGTATTCGAAGTTAACCTTAAACCATTTTTTAGACATTTTACGAAGTAGGTAAATTAAATTGCAGCTTTGTAATGCGCACGTGGTTAGAGCCATGCTGCAGCTATATTATGGTTGTAGCATGAATAAGTCGGCCCGACCGGGGTAGGACCACGCTCTCACAGAATAGAAGCGTAAAATAGCAACTTATAACAGCTGTGTTTCGTATGGTGAGAATAGAAAACCGGAGACACCTTTTCCTGTGGATACGATGCATTCCATATTAGTCCTCAGGGGTGACAACGCTTCTGCATTTTGAGTCTTAATCGAGGATAAAATGTAGATGTCTATGGGCCTCAGTATCAACTTACCATGAGGTGGACTTTGTGCTTGTTTGTCACCCTTATTCTCTAAATAAAATAAGGTTATAAATAGTCGTGTGAAAATTGAAAAGTGATGAAGAACGACGTGCCTTACGGTAAAGGAAAACATTAGGAAGAAACCTACATGACTGAGTAATAACATATTTCGGGAACATGTGAAGTCCACCAACACGCACTAGAGCTGACCAAATGACCCGAATCTTAACTATGCGTTCGTTATGCTACGCATATACAATAATGTAGCAAAAAGCAATATCTTTTTCGAGTTTGACTTTTGTATCATTTTCAATTTGGTTTTTGGTATCAAAAAAAAACGAACCTATGACGAAATGGCAGCGAAACTACACACTCGTAGAACTATATATATTGTAGTTGATAAAATGTGTCACACTCACATTCACTATTTCGAATGCAGCGGGCGATTATGCCGTAAAATCGAAGGTGGACTAGAATGCTATGTTAGAGAAATAGAAATAATCGCCACTAAAAAAGAAGAACAGTAACTAAATCTTGTATTTTGCACAAAATGTTAGCTTGATGTGAAATTCGAAGCCAGGACTTGCGGCGTAATAGCCATGTACTCTAACAACTAGACCATGCGGTCGTCTTATGATGAATAGACCTATACATAGATATTTAATAACTATCCATACTAAAGCGCCAAAACTACAGCTCAAGGCGGAACAACTAGAGTTTGATTCCTGTAAATTTTAGTGACAGGCAGGCAAAAACATCGTTAAGAAAAAAAGTACTACAAGTAAATAAAAAGAACTATTTCCAGGATATGTAAAGTTTTGAAATCAGACGATTTGTTCTCTCATACATAAGCGGCATAAATCATAGATCATAATATTATATCCCACTGTCGAAAATTAATTTTACTTTACTGCTGCCTTAAAGTTATATACGGGTTTTTAGGGGGTTTCTTGTCTAAATGCTTAAATAACTGATAGATATATGTGTAAGTATTTTAATATTGCTTATCCATTCTCTTATTAGCTTAAAAGCGTTTCAAATGAAGTTATAGAACGAAAATCTGTTTGAATCTAATCTTAGCGCCATCTCCGTGCGATTTCCGAGGGTTTCCCGCTTTTCAGCGGTTACAGGCGACGTCAGAGGGCGCGGGGTGCGCCCCGCAGCCTTGCGCACAATCAATATCAACGATGCGCGCCGATGGTGGAGCCTCGCTTGTCACCCTGTCAAGACAACCGAGCCGCCACCGTCGCACACATGCCGCGATTACAACACAACCTGACAGAACTGAGTGGCGTATTCTCATGTAACGTATCATAAAATGTGCCTGCTCATCAAGTCAAACAATTTTTCCAAGTTCGTTAACACAATCTGCAGTTGTCTCGTGTTCGTGCACACATTTCTTACGATGTCTCAAGTCGCACAGGTGTAGACTCTACGTGAAAATGCATCTTCATTTCGAGCGGAATATTAACGCGAAATGCGACTGTACGATACTGTCGCTGTCGTGGATGGGAAAGGTGCCAGACGAGCTGCCCGAGGTTAGTTTCTAATTTTAAACAATTTTTTTTTGTGTTTTGTTTGTGAATTCTTTTACAGTTATTATTAGAATAAAACCAGTTTTAATTAAAAATTTAAAAGATGTAAACTTTTGACACACACATTTGTATTCTTGTAAAATACTGCTAAGCAAATTATTAACTTGTTGTTTATTAAACATAAAACAAAACATAACAAATCATTGCTTAATTCTGTTTCAGTTTACGTTTAAGATATCGCATCCTTTCGTCATTGAATATTTATCATTTGATTTTCATTTATGAACACAAAATTATGCTTATCCTACGTTTGAGTTCCATGGTTTTGTCCACGTAGATACAGTGCAACGCCGAAAAATGTTATGTTATAAGTAAGCAAGGACTTTTGATAAAGTTATTTTGTCAGTTGTTGTCATTTATAGCTGATAGTTTACCTTCATAAGTCCCACAGAGTCACTATTCTAGAAACGTATCCAACTGTTCAACTCGCTTCTCTCTGCTTGCCTCGTTGATCTGGTGGTCGTAATTGTGACTGCTAATCACGTAATCTAACCTAACGCCCGGGTCGGGAAATAATCAGTAGCCCGTTGTCAGGAAATTAGCGGTGTTTGCCTCCGTGCCTGAGATAGCACATAAAGCCGTTGTTATTGGGCCTGATTTCTCACTGGTCGTTTAGTATTGCCGTACCATCGGACTAATAGAGTGAAGGAATAGATGAGTGCACCTGCACTTGCGCACACTCTCGTGCACTATAATCCTGTCCTGCACAGATGACTTGTCTCCGTTGAGATTGGCTGCCGTGACCAGAATCCGGATCGAGGACATTATTATAACTGTTCATCTGTTTTGGTTTAGAGTATTAAGTTAGGGGTAGCGATGACTAGGGGAATTCCTAATTACCCCTGCATTGCACTTTGCGCTTAATTGCATTATTAACTTTATAATATACTGATATCCGCGACTCCGTCCGCGTAAAACATAAACAGAAATACCTGCAGTTCTATAACAGTGGTATTTGGGCAAGTAGTTATCAAAAAAGCACGCCCTCCACTGAGATAATAATACTATTATCTCTTGTTTAAATTAAGAAATTATGAAGACCTATTAATTTTGCGTATTAATGGTCTACACAACACATATTTAAGGGTAGATGGTAAAGTGTGTGAAGTGTGCAAACCAACAAAGTTTTGTTGGGGAATTTTTATTATACCACTTATACTCGTAGCTTATGAGATAATCGTCTATATCCATTTTTTTTTTAATTTTTTGATTTCATAATAAATATTCCGTGTTTTCATCACTCTTTTTACCCCCAACTTTGTCCCCGTGGTGCTTATACAAAAGAAACTTGATCTTATAAAATAACAGAGGCAAGTAGTTCAACTATCTAAAAACTACTTTAAACTCAGTTTTTTTGGTATCTCGAAAACTATGTGTGATAGATATGGGAAGGTATAATTTATCGCATCTTCCTTTATCATTGTTAGTTTATCAATGTTTTGTTAAGAAATAGTACTGAAGTAAAAATAAATTAAAAATAGTTTTTTCATATAAAACTTAAAGAGATTTAGAGTGAGAACCAAAAAAATCATTCGAAACTTTTTTATATATATCTTTAGGATTATGAATTAATCATCTACACCCATTATTTTATCAGTTTTTTGAATTCACATAATAATATCATCCTTGTTTTAGAGTAAAAACTGCTGAAATTACTTCTTTTCTGTAAAAATGGAACAATTTCAGGAGTATTTATATGCATAGATTGCAACAAAATTGTAAAATAGAAACTATTTCTATTTTACAATTTTGTTAAATTAGGTCCAATTTTGTTTGTTTAAATTAGTTAGATTACCTAATTTAAACTAAACGTCTCACATTAAACCTGAAACCTAACTTAGATGCCTACGTGTTAAAGCGGGGATTATTTAGCTATTGACCAGCGACTAGCCCAGGCACCCTAGTGAATAGCAATGAAAGGGAAGCCCGTATTTAATTACCACCTCTTACACTATAGGCATTTGTTATATCTAGATAGGTTGGACTTTACCTGTAGATATGTACCAACTACACCCAAGTTTTATGCCAATTTAATAACAACGCACAGAAAAAAAAATCGAAAGAGAAACTCTTTTATTGATTGATATACGAGTATTTATTTGCACTTTAATGCAGAAATTAGTACCAAATGCCAAAGGGCGTTCTTTCCACTCAACCGTTAGGTCAAGCATAGTTAAAACATATCGTTCGAAATTGAGGTCTAGCTCTAGTTAGCTACTCGATTTAAATAATTCGTGTTTGTATTCTTAAGAAATAATCTAGTTAAAGCATTAAGAAAGTGTTTCTTTTTTTAATTTTACTCAATATTCGTAATAAATGTACTTACCTCAATTTAAAGATGATATTTTTTCGTTCACAATTATCTTAGTTTTAAGAATACCAAAGATAACAAACTATTTGGTGCATATTTTATACGCATTTAATAATACCTTGATAAAAGTACAATCATATTATGTGTTAGTAAATACAGATCATAGAGAATTTATATACAGATTTAGATATATATGTGCAATGTAGACAGTAAAATAGGCTGCCGTGTTATTTTACAATGGCGAACAAATAGAAATATTACGTAAATACCAACCACATTTAAATTTTTTTTATAAAACTAATCCGTTAAATAAACTTAACTCAAACAAACAAACGGGTTCACCTGATGGTAAGTAGCAGCTGCAGTCCATGAACACCTGTAGGACTGTAGCCAACTTCATACAAAGAAGGCTTCAAATGCGTTACCACTTGCCACCTCTGAGGACTAAGATGGAATACCACACAATCTGTGATTACTTAAACTTAAGCACTGCTATTTGGCGGCAGAAATAGGTAAATAGGTAAGAGGGTGATGCCTACCCCACTGACTCATAGACCGCAATGGACTCTTGTCACCTGGTAGTTTAATTAAAACTTAAAATAAATATAGTTAAATATTGATTTAACTGTACTAAATTAACAAAATTACTTACGTTATGAAAAAATAGATAATACTTGTATTTATGTTTGAATAAGTGTCAAGTAAATACCGAGTAGTGGCGTTGAAGAATAACTACTACCCCATATCATCCCGTGTATCATCGACTGAGGGAAACAAATCAGGATCATTGTTGAGCATTCTAATATAATTATAATATAAATAATATAATGAAATAATTTAATTGAAGAAATGTAGTAAATTTAATAGTAACTTTAATATTTGTATTTTTATGTAGTATTAGTTTATGTAGTAGATTTAATTGTAAATATAATATTTTGTTGAATGCAGCGAACGTAATTTTTTTAAAGATCTGTTCTTTCTCATTACCTGTATTCATAAATAAATAAATTTGAAATAACGACTAAAAATAAAAAACTGCGGTCGCCAACCCACTCTATGGGTGAGCTATGTTCAGCAGTGGACTTTAATAGACTGTAATAATAAGTGTTTAGTAAAGTAAATCTATAATAAATCTGTAGAAAAGTCTTGTTTGTAGGAGTGTAGTGAAGTGTCTAACCAAAGGGCACAAAATCTTAAGAATAACATTTAAAACTATACCTACTGTATAGTTTTAAATGTTATTTTTATTGTTGTTGTTGCCACAAAGCATATATTATATATATATATATATATATATATATATATATATATATATATATATATATATATATATATATATATATATATATATATATACAAACATTCAGATTGCCATAATGATGTTGTGTACTTAATGGTCTTCGTGTTATATGGTAATTGGTAACCATGAAATTTTTCTTTATTTTCCTTAGCGTAGTCGTGATACCACCTACTCACAGGAAGACATGATTAATTTTCTCACGCACAAGGCAGTCATGTAATTTTGTATTACCAATATAAACAATTTAAACCGAGGCATTTTTTTAACAAGTTAAAACGAGAGAGTGGGATAACAACGCTTTATGCCAATAAAAATTGGAAGGATTTATATTGATTTAATTGTACTGAGTATTGAGTAACCGTATTGACGCGTGTTGTCGGGTAGCAGGCACATAAATTTATGCATAAAATAAATGTCTGCTAACATTAACCCAAAGAGTAAAGTATATATGGAACATTACCATTATTACAACGATAGTTATCCACACTTATATATAAATTTTATATTGATGCTTATTGCTTATACTAAGTAGGTTGCAAGATTTCTTTGACTTAGAGTAAGAGTTAGTCTCGATTGGTATCACTTTCTTATCTTCTTTCTTCTGTCGCCAAGCAGCAATATAGCGACTACTGTATTTCGGTCTCAAAATAAGAAGTGCCTTATAATAACAGGCTGTTGTGTTTTTATACTATAGCTCTCAGAGGTGACAATGCACCTTTCGGTTGCAGGTCTCTATGGTCTACAAGAGTCACTTACAACGAGGTGAACTGTTACCAGTCGTTTTTAAGTTGGTTGTCATGATGATATTAGAAAATTTATAACTTTTCGTTCCGTAAAATATCAGATCATATAATTTTCAGACCTCTAACATTTTAGGCCTTAAATGTTTTTTCTCAAGTTAAGGAAACCAAAATATATAATATAAAAACAAATGCATGCAAGATACTTCATACCAGTAGATATTTCGCGGTCTGCTGAAATGAAAGTTGCATTTTCTTCATATTTTCCTAAGAAATTCTTTACAACATGTAAAGATGAAATAATGGTGAAATTCTATTAGCAATGGATTCACTTACGCTGCTTCCACATGACAAAATGTAAATATATACAAACGATGTGTAAAATACGTGTATAAAATTGGATCACATGAAGAAAGCTACGCTACCGCTTATTCACCATAGAAGAAGCAAGACTTTTTATTTTGGATTTCAAATACTTCATTTTGTAAAATCTTAACTTTTTCTCCTCGCAACTCGCATTTTTCCAATAAGCACGTTATTCTAATTTTAAAATACGCCATTGGTAACAAGTTAAATAGATGCATGACACTAA